AAATGAAAAATATAGCATACTCTTCACCTTAAAATGAACCTGCATAAATAAATAAATAAAATGAACTTGTAAACAAAAATTGCAAAATATATGAAGAAATCCAATGCTAAGGAAGCTAATAATATCATCATTCAGATTATAAATTCTTTCCTAGTGGAAGAGTATAAACAAAACAAAAGATAAGTCACATAAAGAGAGAAGATATTTACAAAACCAATCAAGTAGTAGTATCCAGAATATGTAAAGAACTCCTATTGATTAGTACGGAAAAAAAAATCCAACTTCAGTAATGAGTAAACAACACAAAAGGCTATTTACAGAAGAAACAAATAGTCAACAAACATATACAAACCTCAATTAGGGAAATGCACAACTATAAGCCAGACATGGTGACACACCTATAGTCCTAGCTGCTCAGGAGCCTGAGGTGGGAAGATTGCTTGAACCCAGGAGTTCAAAGCTACAGTGAACTATAATCATGCCACTGTGCCACTTCACTCTAGCCTGGATGACAGAGTGAGACCCCATCTCTAAAAAAAAAATAAAAATAGACTGGGCATGGTGGCTCATGCCTGTAATCCCAGCATTTTGGAAGACTGAGGCAGGAAGATCACGTAAACCCAGGAATTAAGTTTGGACAACATAGCACCACCTCTTCTATAAAACAAACAAAACCAAAATAAATAAATAAATAAATAACCATTAGATTGGTAAAATTAGCCAGTCTGACAAAATCAAATATGGTTAGGATGTGGAGAAACAGAAATCCTCATATATTACTGATAGGATATCACTTGGAGTAGCTACTTTAGACAGTAGTTTCAACCCAGCAGTTTCAGAAATGTTTGCACACCTGCCAGGAGATACATATAACAATGTTCACTACAATGTTGTTTGTAATTGTGAAAAATAAGAAACATGCTAAATATTCCTCTAGAGAAGAACAAGTATATTATTTTTATATGATAGCATAGTTACTTCAGTGAAAATGTATGAACCAAAGCAACTTGAAGAAATCTCAGAAATATTACTTTGAATAAAAGATGGCAAATGATTTCATACAGGACCATTTATATGAAGATTGGAAACATGTAAAACAATACTGTGTCATTTATGGATATGCATATACATATATTTGTGTGAAATAAAAATAAACAATGTATTAAAACGATAAACACCAAATTCAGGATAGTTGTCTCCAAAGGAGAGAAGGTAATGGGATTGGGGACACAAAAGAAATATTAACCATATCTGTTAATGTTTTACGTCTTAAAAAAAAATTCTAAAGCAAATATCAAGGTATTTCACTCAAAATCTCTATCTTATTGTTGTTAAGATGAAATAACTATATGCTTCTTATAAAAGGGAGTTAATTTTAAGAGAACTGGAGAGACAAAAATATAAAGTTAAAATTGGCATTTGGGACTGATTTGTTTCCCAGATTTGTTTCAAGTGCTGTTCTCCAGGTCAGAGAACTTTTCATTTTCTTTCACCCATTTTGTACATTTAGGGAAAATCTTAAGTGTCAAAATCATTTATGTGACAGACAAACAGAAGCTCTTGATGTTAATAATTATGGTACAATTAAGATGAGAATTATGACTACCTAACAAAAAAACATTTAAATTACTATTTTAGGGCCTTTGGAAATGTTTACACATTTCAGAGGCATAATGGACCTGATCATAGCAGGGTAATGTCCTTTTAGTGACTAAATCAAACCTTCCTATAATTTCAGCTTCCTTATTTCTACTCACCTACCATCAGAGTTTACTTAAGAATATACTGTAGCCGGGCTCGGTGGCTCAGCCAATAATCCCGCGCCTTTGGGAGGCTGAGGTGAGTGAATTGCCTGAGCCCGTGGGTTCGAGACCCGCCTGGGCAGCGAGACCTCATCTCTACAATAAATAAAAAAAATCAGCCGGGCGTGGCAGCGCCTGCCTGTAATTCCGGCTACTTGGAAGACTGAGGCGGAAGGATCGCCAGAGCCCAGCAGGTCGAGGCTGCGGTGGCTGGGAGCGGCCACTGCACTCCAGTCTGGGCGACAGAGTAAGACTCCAACTCAAAAAAAAAAAAAGAAAGAAAGAAAAGAGAATATACTGCATACTCTTGATCTATTATCTCCATCATTCTCATATATTTCCTACGCAGTCAGAAATTGTAAAAGTAAATCCCAAAACAATCCTCACCTCAGAATTGGTTTCTGTGTGGCCCTAAGAGGTGGTATTAAATGATTAACTCCCAAATCCTCTCAAAAGTATTTGCATTATAAGAATATTCCTGCCGGGCTCGGTGGCTCAGCCTGTAATCCCGCGCCTTTTGGGAGGCTGAGGTGAGTGGATTGACTGAGCCCGTGGGTTCGAGACCCGCCTGGGCAGTGAGACCTTATCTCTACAATAAACCAAAAAATTAGCTGGGCGTGGTAGCGCATGCCTGTAATTCCGGCTACTCGGAAGGCTGAGGCGGAAGGATCACCGGAGCCCAGCAGGTCGAGGCTGTGGTGGCCGGGAGCGGCCACTGCACTCCAGTCTGGGTGACAGAGTGAGACTCCAACTCAAAAAAAAAAAAAAAAAAAAGAATATTCCTAAAAACTTAAGACATTCTCAGTTCAAGAATTATTAAAGAAATGTTTAGACATTTTGTTTGTTTCTATGTCGAGGGTGTTTATGGAAAAAAGTAGCCTATTACATGGGTCCCAAGGGTCATACAACCTTCAGAGAGTTGGCAAATTAGCTCCCTGCCTCAAGCTAGTATCTTCTCCTTTTCCATTAACACTATAAATATTTTCTTGATTTCAGTTCTTAAAGTTCTCTGCCCCTTCTGCTCATTCCCAAAGGTTGAATCTGCATACAGTGGGCCTTCAATAAATGTTTGTTCATGAGACCACGTTAATTACATGACCCTGGACCAACTGAACTATATTGTTTCTAGCCCCAGTCTTTATAGATAATATCTGATGGGACTCTGTCCTTTGGAATAGGAGAGGCAGGACTGATCATATAACTGACCTTTTCCCAGGGTACCAACTAAATTCTTATTGACTATGCCTTTGTTGGTTCTGGGTCATCATTATCTGTAGGTAGGATATAGAAATCTTCCTCAAGGTTAAAGAAAAAAAATCAGAAAACCGTTACAGTAGTTCCCTGTTAACCATGGTTTCACTTGCCCCAGTCCCAGTTACAGCAGTCAACTGTGGTCTGAAAAGATTAAGGTATTTTGAGAGAGCAAGAGAGACAGAGACAGAAACCACATTCACAAAACTTTAATTACAGCATATTGTTACAATTGCTATTGTGTTAATCTCTTACTGTGCCTAATTTACAAATTAAACTTTCTCATAAGCATAGGAGTACAGGAAAAACATAGTATACTGTGGTACTGTCTGCAGTTTCAGGTATCTGCTGGGGGTCTAGGAATATATCCCCAGCAGATAAGAAGTGACTACTTAGCCGGGCTTGGTGGCTCAGCCTGTAATCCCGTGCCTTTGGGAGGCTGAGGTGAGTGGATTGCCTGAGCCCGCGGCGTCGAGACCCGCCTGGGCAGCGAGACCTCATCTCTACAATAAATCAAAAAAATCAGCCGGGCATGGTAGCACATGTCTGTAATTCCGGCTACTTGGAAGGCTGAGGTAGAAGAATCGCCGGAGCCCAGCAGGTCGAGGCTGCGGTGGCCGGGAGCGGCCGCTGCACTCCAGTCTGGGCGACAGAGTGAGACTCCAACTCAAAAAAAAAAAAAAAAAAGAAGTGACTACTCTATAACATTCTAACTATTTTCACATTTACCTCTTCCTAATCTTGGTTCTCTCCCTAATCACTAGCTGAAATATGTATGCTACAATTAAATATTTCTATCTACATGCCCTCATCCTGGGCCAGTTGTGGTTCTACCTGACCATCTCTGTTTTGTTGCCTTCTCCACACTGAAAAATTATTCATAATAATTGCAAACATTTACTGAGTATTTGCTTTGTGCACTGTTCTAAGTTCTTTTACAAATATTATTTATTTCATTTCATATGCATAATACATGACAGACAAAAAAGCTCTTGATGTTAATAATTATGGGACAATTAAGATAAGAATTATGACTACCTGACAGGTGCTATTATTATCCTGTTTTACAGATGGGAAAATAGAGGTTCAGGAGGATACTTTATTAATCTGTAAAAATTTTCCATGATACTTCTGTGAGGAAAAAAGTGAAATTATTTCAAAGAGTTTTGTAATAAGCAAAGTGAAGTGCAAGCCATACTGTCATCTACTTAGGCTCAATAAATGTTTGTTGAATGAACGAGTGAGTAAATATTACTACTGGGATGTGCCATGTGCTGTGTAGGTAAAATCCCCAGAATAACGTAAAATGTAAACATGCCAAGCACTATGTCTGTAACACAGTTGTTACCCCTGCCAACATCTACTAGTTTCCTTCTTCTCCTTCCCTTTTCCTTTAATTTCACAATCAAAATGACTGTCTGATTGAATATTCTTAAAAGGTTATGATGAATTATTCTGTAATATTTGAAATGTTATGCTCAGAAAGGTCAAACCTTATTTTTCGGTATGAGTTATCACATAGATTTGTTTTTCCTGGGTACGTTTTCTTTTTTCAAAGAGAAGATGGAAGAAATTTAGAGCAGAGTGCCCTCTTGAGGAAATTTTAGCACCTTTCTTCTCAAGACCAGGCATTTCTAAATGAAATGAGAAGTGCGGATAAATGATGTGCGCTATTAATGAAGCTCAGATAAATGAAATGTTAAAAAGTAAGAATAACCAAATACCAGATATCTGGGGATAATGGTTTTGGTTGGTTGTTTTTTGGTTTTGTTTTTGTTTTTTTGAGTTGGAGTCTCGTTCTGTTACCCAGGCTGGAGTTCAGTGGCACGCTCATGGACACACCAGCATCAACCTGCTGGGCTCAGGCGATCCTTCTGCCTCAGCCTTCCAAGTAGCCAGAACTACAGGCAAGTGCTACCATGCCTGGCTAATTTTTTTATTTACTGTAGAGATGAGGTCTCGCCATGTTGCCCAGGCTGGTCTCAAACCCATGGGCTCAGGCAATCCCCTCACCTTGACCTCCCAAAGTGCTAGGATTACAGGTTTGAGCCACCATACCTGACCAAGATAATGATTCTTAACTGTTATGAGCTAACATAGGAACTGGAAATAATAATTTTTAAATGAAGACAAAAACCTCTGGAAGTTTTTTTTTTTTTAATCTCATTCACTCTGTCCTTCAAGTAATATTTATTAAGCACCTATTTTGTGCTAGGAACTATGCTGAGCACAGTGGTCCATAAAACATAGTCTGTCTTCATGGAGCTTACAGTTTATGAGGAAGATCACAGGAAGGGAAACAAATAAATATATGTTACTACAAACTGAGAAAAGTACTGAGAAGGAAATGAAAGGTACTAGAGTAAAGAATAACAAGATATGTTCTACTTAGGGTCCTCAAAGAAAGCCTCTCTGAGAGGAAATAATTCAGCTGACTCAGTTTGCTTTTCAGTCCATTCCAAGTTCCAGTCAAATATAGATAGTCTAAGGACCCTCTTTCCTAGCCTTGGTCTTATCTATCCTTCATAATGGTTGGTCTGCTCAATTAATAGATGTCTTCCTTACTAACACTGATAGCTCCTTGTAGTAGAACATCAATACATTGTAATGCTGAAAGGCCCACTTCTAACAAGGTTAAGAATGTGGAAGGTCTCAGAAGATGAAAAGGACAGATACCCTGCCTGCCATTATGCTCTGAATAGGGAGGGATAAATAGACATGAAGTAGGCAGAGAACTTTATCATGCAATACTGTTTGGTCATGTTGACCTTGAAATTTCCATGGTACTAGGCATATGGAAGTCTTCAATCAGAATTGGAAGTGAGAAATTAGATCTCAGAAAAGAGCAAAAGAACAGTTTTTAGAGTTTTGCTTTATTTCAAATCTCCCGTACTACACAGACTTC